TCTATTTATGTTGAAAGGAAACTCTCATTTTCTTTAAATGTGTCAGTAAGGGAACTTTCAGAGCAGTGTTTTGTTCTCCAGTTTGGCCTAAGACAATGCAGATGGTTTAATTTGAGATTGTGCTTGGCACAGGTAATAACAGAAAGAATATTCTCTGCAGATTAAAGCCCATATTCTTCAGACTTGCTTTTTCAGCAATAAAGGTAATATTTGAATATTTATCTCTTCCATTTATGGGGCACACAAGTGGTACAAAATTGAGGTTTATAAAAGACAATTGTTTATCAACTCTAATATTTCCAAACATGATAACACAAATGGTATAGTTTCTAAAGTAGCGTTCAAATGCAAACCAGAGCAGTAGAACAGTGCGGCTTGGTCTGAGCTGAGACAAAGCCTCCTTCAACTCCATAATTGCTAGGGCCAGGCTCCATCCTTATAACCTTCTATAGAGCTGAACATGAAATGTGGGGTCATGGAACCCCTGCTTGAAAGAGTAGAGAGAGATATGGGAAAAGGTTTCAAAGGGAGGAAGCACATAAAAGTTTATCACAGATAACAGATTACTCTATGCAGACAGAATATTCTTTCCCAGAATTTTTTGATGAAATTTTGTTTTAGTTGTTTTCTTGCAACCATGCAGTGATCTGGTGTCTTTTTTATGGAGTAATAAATAGCAACCCATTTGCTTCTGTTGTCATGGCTGTTTTTATACATATTAGGTTACCTATAAGTTAAGCTTACAGTTATATTTAGGCTCTGTCCAATATGTATGATTTAATATGCACATAACCTTTCTCTATATTTATTTTGCAGAATAATTTTATGGGTCTGTGACTATAGCTGAATGATGCATGTGTGACAAATTTAGTGATTTAAGAAAAATGTGGTCTGTGCAAGTTGAATAAAAAGAGAATTTTGACAGGAGATATAAAGATATTGTAGAGTTTGGAGGCAATGTAGTGCATTGAAAAAAGAACTAACTAGGCTCCAATCCTGGCACTACCACTTGCAAACTGTGGCTATAGGCAAGTCATTTCTCCTTTATAAACCTATTTTTCTCATTAGCAAAATGACAATAGTAGGTAGTATTACCTTACTCAAAGATGCTCTTGAAAATTAAAGGATTTAATGTTTGTGAAAAAAAAAAGCAAACAACAACTGGCTTTATACTTAGTTTCTGGATTTCAATATGAATTTTGCTTTTAGCTTAAATTATTTTGGGAATAATTAGCTTTATCCTACCCCCATTGTTTTTTTTTTTTTTTTCCCCTTGCAACTAAATGTGAGTCTTCCAAGGAATGAAGTTAGAATGTCTTTCATGACATGAGTGTGAGGACAGAGTATTTGCATGCTCTGTTTGATTTGGAATTTTAAAGCTCAATCAGGAATTAAAGTAAGCACAAGGAAGGAGCTATTAAGGAAACTGGAAAGGAACAGACAGTTCTAGAATGTGGCAGCCCCTGTTTGATTTTAAATGTAAGTTAAATATTAATTTTTCTTAAAAAAAATCTTCTTCCTCCAGGGAGGCCTTTTTCTCTCACTCTCTTATGTTGTTGACAGATTGTTGGTGGATTGCCTTTCACACTGACTTATTTGGAGGAAAAAAAAGTCTTCAGATGATCTTATTTGCGTAAGAAAAAAAAAAAAATCTTCAAAACAACTCCCTTGTCGCCAGCATCAACAGCAGCTGAACACGGGTTGGGTTGTTGCACAGTGAGAATTATCCCTTTCATTTCAAAGGAATCAAAGACATTTGGGGCAAGCAAAAGCCCTGGTTTACACATGATCAAAATAAACTAATATCAGGTTTGCTTACGCTAAGTGTTGATTCAAGCTAATACTGAAGTCCAAGTATACTTTTCATTCTTTCTATGAGGATTATGTAGAAAAGAGAAAAATCTAAAAGTCTAAAAAGCTGAGCTGATTTGGAGAAATTAAAAGCATTTGAAGATCTTCTCTTTGTCTGAATTCCTTTCTGCTGATAGTTTCCTAAAACAAGGGGGCAAAATGAAGCTGTTGACTTGTAAACAGAAGTCGAAAGGAAATTCAAGCTTCTGTCAAGACTCATTCCAAATACAATAAACAGGAAAATGATTGGATCCCTTTTAAAGTTTTTGGATGGGCTCTCTTGTGCTTTGGCTGTTTTTTGAATTCGTAAAGACTGGGGAACAAAAGTGAAATTTTAGGTTCCCAGTTCCTATCTATCTTAGCAGAAACTTGAACATTTCATGTTTCCAACAGCACTTTTCTCAAATCATAAACTTCTTTCTTTCATGTACTTTTCTTTCTCTTAAGAAAAAGAAGGAATTCTCAAAAATATCATCACCCAGTTCTCCATGACATTTAACATATATATTTTTAATAATAAAGCACTCTTCTCCTGCCACTGCCTATCTAAGTTTCCTCATTTATAAAATGAGGAGATTGGACAAGGCTTGCCGTGCCACATTCTGTTCTGTACTGGGTTCTTCAAGTGTCCAAATTTGGAGCTATGGACACTGAAGCCTGTAATTCTTTTTTGCGGGGAGGCTGTTCTGCATTATGGGACAGTCAACACCATCCCTTCCTTGTACCCACCAGACACCAATAGTACGAATGTTACTTCCCCCACACCCTAATTGACAATCACAGATATCTCCAGACATTTTTACATCTCTAGGTGGGCAAAATAACTCACAGTTGAGAACTACTGCTTCAAGTCATTAAAGCAGTGGTTCGTAAACTCTGGTAAATATCAGAATCTCCTGAGAACTTGGAAAAAATATAAAGACCTAGACTTGATTCTACTTCAAAATGCCAGGGCCTCTGTGTGTTTCTCTGTGTTTTTTAAATAATTAGATTTTTTTTTTATAACACAACAAAATTGGGCACTCTAAAATGGGGTCCAGTTAGCTGTCTAAGAAATGAAGCAGCTATCGATGAAGTGTATTCCTGGCACATCCAGTTCAAGAGTGCAAGAAACTATTGGAAACTGTGTCTTTCCACACAGTAGGTCGATTGGGCAGAGTGTGACTAGAACTTAACATCTCTGCACTGAACGGTTCTTATCACCATATGACAATAAACTTTTTGATAGTCATAAACTTTTTGATCTGGTCCAGCCTTAAAAGGAAAATAAGATTGACCTTCCTGTGGAAGAGAGATCTGAGAGATGACACAAAGCCCTGCCTACTCTCATATCTCTGACTCATGAATACTCCATAGATCCTGGAACTCCAGTTCTTAGACTTACTCCTTGGAATGAGGCATTTTCTTTAAACCAATAGTTTTCAACCTTGGCTTCACACCAGCGTCATTTGGGAACTTCTAAAAAATCCCTAGTTTTGAGTCATATCCCAAACCAATTAAAGCAGAATATCTTAGAGCAGGAACCAGGAATTAATACTTTAAGTACCTTGGATCTTTGTAATGTTCAGGAAAAATTGGCATACTAATTAAAGGCTTTCCCTAAAATCAAATAGGAGTTTTGCAGAAGGAAATAAAATGATGGTAGGATATGCAAAAAGGCTTGACCATTCAGCCCCACTTTGGAAAACAGCAGGATATTTGTGTGGCTGAGGCATTATAGGCTTTTGACTCTATGCGGATAGATGATCTAGAAATATTTCTTAATGTAGAGATAAAATATAGCAAAGCACTTGGGTACTTTGCCCACAGTCCCACAGTAGTACTTTCTATCCTAATGTGTTTTCAAAACTTTTCACAAGTAGATTGATAACTCTAGACTGCAGAGTTATCTGAAAACAGAAACAATCCCTAGAGAAAAAGTCTGGGCAGATGACACAATTCTGGAACCCAGAATATCCAAAGAATTTAGTATACCTTCAGCTCCAAACTAGAGCTTGTCCATCAGTAGGATGAGACAAATTAGTGAGGTTTGGTAGAAAAAAATATAATATGAACATAATTCTTTAAAGTTGCATAGGTAGGGCTATTCATTGCCAGAGTTGTCAAACCCAACAAAATGAATGAAGGGATGACAAGAAACTCTGGCAACCTTCTCGGCACAGTGGTCACATAGACATTTTCTGGGAAATTGAGATCAACTGAATGTTATATGTGGTCTTTTCCCATTGCCCTTCTTCCACTCACCATCCAAATGGCAAGAGACTTTGGTGAAATTCCACAGGCATTAAGAGACAAAAGGAATGCCCCCAGGAAGCAGGCTGGAATCCAGGGCCCAGCACATAAGCTTGCAGAGAGTGTGCAGCCAAGGGACAGGAAAGAGGGGTCACACCTCCTCTAAACGGGTGTTTATGATAGTGGAGAAGCCAACGAACAGAAACACCTCCAGCTAGTTTATTGGAGTGTGGCAGCTATTTCTGTCAGCTTTCCCATTCCTAGTTTGATGCTCATTGCTTAAGTTCTGGAGGTACTAGATTTATTAAAATGACTCTTTGTTAAATTCGTACAAGAATTTATATCTGAATATCATTTGACATGTGGACGTTTGTCAATTTTAAGAGATGAGGAAACTGAGGCTCAGTTACTCAAGGTTACACAGCTGGGAAACTGACAAAGGCTGAGGGTTAAGTACCGTTTCTCCTTTCTAGCCATTCTCATTCTCGGTCCCTTAACGCAGACACAGAAGTATTGTGTTTACTGTTCTTTCTTGCCCCAGTCCACAAACTCACCATCCATACAAAGTGGGATGAAAAGGCAAAGAACAGATCTCCCCACCCCACCCGCCAAGGTTGATCCCAAAGGTCCAAGATTGAGTCGTTCCTTTGCCACATATCAGCCGCATAAACTTGGGCAAGTCACTTTTCTTTTCAAACAGAAGGACCCAGCAGACTGTAAGATCATGTACACATTCCAGAAAATGACTTAAGACCCGAACCTCACTAAAACACTTTTTTTTTTCAACTCTAGAAAAAAGAATAATAATACCGGCTTCTGCAACCTAGAGGAGAACACACGTGTAAAGCTCCTCCCCCGGGTTTGGCCTCAAGCGGCGCTAGCCCTCTGCCTGGCGCTTGTGTGCCGCCCCAGTCTGGCAACCCGCGGCTGCGGCTGGAAAGCCTGGGAGCGCGGCTTGCGGAGGCTCGGGCAGCAGGAGGAGCGTGTGAGCTGTGGGCGTCCCTTTAAGAGCGGCGGGACCGGCAGAGCCTCCGCCTCTCTGTCCGAGGAGCGCCGGGCGGTCACCTGGGGCTGTCGGACAGCCAGATCTTGCTGTGGTACTGGCGCGCTTGCCTGAGGAGTTAGGAGACAGACCCCGTCGCGAGGTGCTGCGGAACGGTCTCCCAGCGGCTCTCTGCTGCGGAAGATGCAGGAGCGCATCTGGGCGTTGCTGCTGCTGCTGCTGCTGCTACCGCCGCCGCTGTGTGGCGGCCCCCCGGACAGCCCGCGCCAGGAACTAGAGCCTGAGCGCGGGCCTCTGCAGCCCTTCGACCTGCTCTACGCCAGCGGCGTGGCTGCCTATTACAACGGGGAATACGAGCAAGCGGTGCGCGACTTGGAATCGGCGCTGCTCAGCCACCGGCGCCTGCGGGAAGTCCGCACGCGCTGTGCCCGCCACTGCGCCGTGCGCCGCCCTCTCGTGCCCCCCGGTGCCGGCCCCGGGGCTGAGCTGCCCTTCTTTCGCGCCTTGCTGGAGCGGGCGCGCTGCTACCGCAGCTGTGAGACCCAGCGCCTCGGGGGACCCGCGTCCCGACACCGCGTCAGCGAGGATGTGCGCAGCGACTTTCAGCGCAGAGTGCCCTACAACTACCTGCAGCGGGCCTACATCAAGGTACCCTGGCGCTGGCGTTTCCACACCTAACGCCCCCTGTGGCTCTTGGATGTGCTCTTGAGTCCTCGGGTTATCTTAGTATTGCACTGCTTTGCAATCTTTCAGAGTGGATTTCTTAAGCATCTGTCTCATGTTTATGAATCTTGACATCTATTGGCCCAAACTTTGTACTAGATGAACTTGGGCAAGTCTTTCTCTGACTCTTCCTCTCTCTAAACATTAACTTTAGTCTCAAAAAGAGGGCTGTACTGATTGGATAATGTTTAAAGCACTCATTTAATACAGCTGGGTCTATAATAAGCTTTCTTCTCAAGAATCATTCTTGGTATATACCTATTCCCATCTCTGTCTCCTCTCCCTCACCAGTACTATACTCCAGTCTGCATCTTTTCTGGTAGGTTTAACAGAATGTGTTTTCAAGATAGCAGAGTTAAAAGTAAATGTGTTCCTAAACAAATGTTTCTCTCTCTCTCTCTCTCTCTCTCTCTCTCTCTCTCTCTCTCTCTCTCTCTCTCTCTCTCTTCTATAAAAAAGTAAAGTTCCAGATTACAGAGAAGAAATGCTAGGGCGAGGTGAAGCTCTGAGGGACCATCTCATTAAAATTATCCACAAGTGCTGATTTTTTTTTCTCCTTTGATGGAAGCCTTCCAGTTCCTGAAGTTTTACATTGGACTGGATTACGTGACATCAGATGCCCAGGGCTCTTATCTTTGTGTACTTAACATCCATGAAGTTAGTGTCGGGAGGAATACACTGTAAATTGGTCTTATTTCCCACATCCACAATTTTGAAGATCTGGATGCTTCAGCAGAGAGAATTTAGAATGAATTCCTCACACCTGCCCACTCACCCATGTTACTCCAAATTTACACAATTTCTCCCCACTCCTGACTTTCTGTTTTAGTATAGCAATGTCTCTTCCCAGCTGTTGGAGGAGGGGCAGCTCAGGGGGTTGATTGGTAGTGCTACAGATGGACCAGGCTGCATTTCTAAGGAGAAGAAAATATACATCATGTTCCAACATTGACATGCCTTTAGCATTGACATGCCTTTGAAGCTTATCCCACAGGTCTATGTTGTCACTGGTCATAGACTCTCAGGTTTACAACTGTCAGAGGAGTTATGAGGTCTCAACTGAGACTTTAAACTCTCAGTGTGTTGTTTGTAGCTTAGGTCCCGGAGCTCACTAGATTAGTGCCTTGGGCAGGAAAGAAGAAAGCCCAAATGCTTTCCAAGATTTGTCTCTTACATGCTTGTGCCTCCTATTGAATTTGCTAAGGCACACATAAAGTATAACCCTCCTTTCTTTTAAGTGAGTGGAAGTTTGGAATGGTCTTCCAAAAACCAGTCAATTCTGGACAGAGAAGGCATCTTGAGTACCTGACAGCAGAATGTGGGTTCTGTAGAATGGTCTTCCGGGAAGTCTCAGAAGTGAGAGGTTGGCCATCTTGCTGATGATTTGTTCACATGTATTGGACAAATTTTCCTTTCTCAGGTCTGGGGAAGGAATGCATATTCATGTTTGGGCATATAAAAATAACCATGAGGTAAATGTCAATATGTGGGTTTCTTTGGTTCTATAATTATGTTTGCTACACTATGAATGTTAACATTTGTCAGCCAGTCTCAAGCTCTTGTAACCTGGTTGGAGGTCAAAGAAGGTGAAGACATAGATTTAACAGGACTCAAACCTTTGCAATTAACTGTTTATAAGATCAAGGCACACATGGACCCTGTTGTGGTTGTAGTAATGGGCATTGTCTGATGAACCAATGATGTTGAAGAAATCCTTTCATAAATATTTGGCATCATCTGTTCATTTGTGCTCTACTAGCAATATTTCTAGGGGCAGAAGCAGGCTTCCATTTCACCTCCACTCGAATGGGCAAAGTCTCTTGCTTGCACATAATTGATAATCTCTTAAGAAGGAAATATTTTTATCCATTTGGAAATTTGCTTTGTATGGCTGGAGTTCGTTAACATCTAAAAAATGCTTCATCATAGTTCTTTCCTCACCCGCATCCTCTAAAAATTCTACAATTTTAGTTTTTGCTTGCTGTCCAGAGGACTTTACTCATAAAAACAATACATACTAGCATTTGAGACTAAAACAACCCTCATAAATGTAAAAGAACATCCCCAGGCTTTGACATATCTGGATTCTGGTGTGTTAACTCACTGATAGGATGAGTTCCTTACACGTACTTGGGTCTGATCATGGTGCCTTGTATTGTTGAATTACTTTTGCCATCAGTGATCTGGTTTGTAGTTAAAAGTATAATCCTAGGCCAAATTGAATTCATTGAGGATCGGAAGTCTTCATAGAGCTAAAAAATAGTTATTTTTAGCTAGGAAGTTCACAAACTGCAGAAGGTCTTAGGAGGTACTGCTTCTCCCCCAAATCACGGTTACTGAGCCACCAATGGAAACAGATTCTTTATGCTGGTATGTTGGAAATGGAGGATTGAAAATTGTGATATTGAGACCCATGAGTGAGATTCCTTTTTGCACAGAAAGTAATTCCCAGAAAAGGAAAGGAGCTTACTCAGTGTCATGTCTGTGGTAGCAGAGCAGTCTGAGTTGATGCAATGAGCACGGACCTGGGAGTTAGGAGCGCAGGCTCTGCCAATAGATACTGGATCCAGTGCTTGCCCTGCTATGCCCTTAGCCCGTGGGATCGCCTCAGGTTCCAAAGGATGCTGCATTCCCCAGGGCTCTCCTTATGCCAGATTTGGACAGCTCCAGGGATGAGTAGAGTAAATCCTTGCCCTGTGGGATTACAGACAACACTTTTCTCTGAAGGCCTGCTCCATAGACTCTTCCTTGAGGCCTGTCATGTTGGGAATTTGCCTGAACAGTTATGAGGCGGCAGTTCCGCCTGGCTCCTAGCCGCACCCTTTTGGTGTGTGTGTTAAGGCAGAGTGAAACTCTTCAAACTTTTGATTTTATCATTTTAGATTATAAGATATAATTCATGCTCCACAGCCTAAAACCTAAGGAATAGTTTTTATTGTAGTTTCTGCTGAGAAACTTTCAGTAATTTTCCCTTACTACTAAACAACGCCCATATAGTTTAATTCAGCTTCAGTTCCACTCAAATTCCCCAGTTCTATCTCCCCCAACTCTGCTACCTTCCAGCCAAAGGGAACAGCATCTGACTTTCTTGCATCTTTTGCCATTGTTATTCTTCTTAGGAAGCCTGCAGGCTCTGGATTAGGATAGATAAAGAGACTAACCTAAAGTCTACCTTCTCCAATTTAGCTGCATGAGTGTGAATACAGTACATAAGCTTTTTGAGCTTTAGTCTTCTTATCTGCAAAATGGGGAAATAATAGGACTACTTGCGTGTTTTAGGTTAAGTTTACCAGATGACTGATGTCAAGTGCCAAAAACAGGGCCTATTCCCAGCAAACATTAGATATGTGTTTATTCTTATTACTAGTTACAGTGGTAGCTTTTCCTCTTCCTTCTTTACATTTTCAAATCATAACTATCTTAACATAAACATACCTATCTCTATGAGGCATTCCTGACTCCCTTTGCAATTCCCAGAAGTTCATCATATTTCCCTTTTCTGAATATGTACAGGAGGAAATTTGTTCCTCTTCTCTCATTTTTTCTTTCATTTTTAACATTACTTTGGGAAAATTGGTATATCTGTTCTCAGTTATGTGAGCTCCTTGAAATCAAGAATGACCTTAGTTATTTTTGCATCTCTAAAGTAGGGACTCCCAGATCTGGGTGATTATTAGATGGAACTATTATTTGTAATATCTGGGGCATTAAATATGATTTAAAATTAGTGCTTTATTAGGGTCAGTAGGTCTCAGTTGGGTCATCAACAACCATATTCCTTCCAAATATCTCAGCTGGGATCCTAGGTGTAAATACTCAATATTGTGTGTTGATTGAATCATAGCTTGGTTCTATTTTCATGAAATAGTGTTAAAATTTCTGTGTGGTGGCAGAAAGTTTTTATTACATCAGTTGTGTAGATTCCTGGCTGGTTAATTGGGAGAGAAAGTTACAGGAGTGTGGACTGTGGATATCTCACTGTTTCCTTCTTGCAAGTTCTGGCTAATGTGGCAGTCTCCTGCCTATACTCTCCAGTTTTTTGTATTTTAGTTCATATTATTTAAAACTATGCTTCAGAAAATCCTTGGCACATTTTATTTGTTTTATGTATATTTGTGGAATTTAAACAGATGTAAGAAAGAGATTTTCCTTTCTTATCTGTGTCCTTAATAATTATAAATTGTTTGAAAGTGTCTGCTCTTTTCTCCCCCTGTTGCTAGCCTTTTAAGAAAAACAAACAAACTGGTGGTGTTTTTTTCCTTTTTTTTTTTAAACCTAAAGTTAGCTTTCTCCTGCATGTTTTGTTGCTTGTATTAGTGTTTGTGCCATTTGGCTTTTGTTATTCTTCTTGGGACTAAAAGGAGGGAAAAAAAGGAAATGGAATTTAGTCAATTCTCTCTCCCTCCCAGAATCATCTTCCCCAAATCCCTTTATCTTGGCCACTATTAATTTTATTAGTGGTTGGTAGAAAAGAAAAAGGTAAACTCAGATTATTTCCTCACTCTAATTCTGCTTACTGACTGCTTTTGCTTTTCTAGAAGGAATGCCTTAAAGAGAAATTGAAAACTCAGACAACTGTCTCATACAGATCCTGTGTTGCTCCAGAACCCTTAATTGAACTATTTTTACCTGTTTGTTGAATTATTTCAAATAAGATGTTGATTTTGTCTTTCTGAAATAGCTGTTCTGAAATTATTCTAATGGTTAGTTCCTCAGGAGATGAGACTTTCTTCTCTCACACATAATTGAAACATCTTTGTGCTTGAATCATCAAAATGTACTAGTCACCTTATTATGTCCCACTCCTTGGGAAGGAAACCTGGGAGATGCTTTGTCTTACCAGTTCCTGGGTCTAGTGTGCCAGAATCACAGTTATTTCCTCATTGGGGTTGTCCATCTGTGGGCTGGTCGGTCATCTCTTTATC